GGGAAAGAAGGTTATGCCCCTTCAAATTATCCTTGTCAGGTGTGTTACTTCCATAAGAGATCCTTCTGCATGTGCAGTTGGAAAGGATTGTGGGGACCTAAAAGAAAGAGGTTGGTGACCCAGTGTGCAGCAGTGGTGAAAAAGGCAAATTCCCTGATGGGGCTTATTAGGAAAGGGGCTGTATGTATAGGTAGAGCCTTTTTCCACTGTCTGTGCCTGAAGGAATACTTCAGCATACCCAAGAACAGGCAGCATCTTCACAACATACCATCACATGATCTACTGGAGAACAGCTACCATTCCTTCAACCTACCGATGAATAAGATATTAACCACCAACTGCCATCAGAACAACAGTACAAAAAAAGAGACTCCCCATGGACCCCTCCTGATGGTCACAATGCCACACTGGATCTCTACATTGAATGCTTTCACTGCAGAGTCCAAACCAATGTGATCAACAAACACTATCATGTACAAAATTGCAGCCATGCTGAAAAAAAGGCCATAGACAGTCTCAGGAACAGTCCCAATATTGTAATTAAAGAAGCAGACAAAGGTGGAGCCATTGTCATCATGAATAGATAAGACTACATCCAGAAGGCTCAAAGACAACTCTCAAATACAGCTTTTTACAAACAACTGGACTTAGATCCCACACTGGAATACAAAAAAAAAAAACATTATAAAAGAATTATCCCTACACATTCAGGAACAATTCCTTTCAGACACAGCACAGTATCCTTGATACCATGGGGTATCTGGATACATGGACTCTCTTCTAAGACCCTAAGACCCTGTGCCATCAATGCTTCTATTTATATGCACAGCACCACGTATTTTCTGAGGAAAAATCAATTGTTGAACAACCTTCCAGGGAATACTATTTTAGCCATCACGAATGTGGAGTCTCTCTACAACAACATCCCACACAAAGATGGATTACAAGCCATAAGGAGTATGATTTCTGATAACACCACAGCTAACTTTGCCACTAAATTCTGCTATTTTATTCTCTTCCATAACCACTTCAAATCTGGTGACAAGTTGTTCCTTCAAATCAATGGTAGAGCTATGGACACCCGCATGGCCCCACAGTATGCTTACATCTATATAGCTGATTTGGAGCAGCAGTTCCTAAACTCCTACCCACTCACACCTCTCTTATACCTGCGATATACTGATTACATCTTTCTTGTCTGGATACATGGTAAAGAAGCCCTGGACATATTCCACCAGGCTTTCAATGACTTTCATCTCAGCAACCACTTGACAGTGAACCAATCTGTGCAAGAAATACATTTTCTGGACACTACTATAAAAATACACAATGGATGCATAGAGACCACCTGGAAACTTACTGACTGACAAGCATATCTACATGCCTCCAGCTATCATCCTAAATATATCAAACAATCCATTGTATACAGCCAGGCTCTACACAACAGCTGCATTTATTCCAATCCTATAGACAGAGATTCTCACCTGAGGGATCTACAAGAAACCTTTTTGGAACTAAGGTATCCATCTGATCAAGTTAAGAAACAGATTAACAAAGCCAAAGTGGTGCCCAGAGAAAACCTGTTGAAAGACAGGCCCAAAAAGACAATAACAGAAGGCCACTAGTGGTCAGGTCACATACAATTCTCAACTCAAAACAGTTCAACGCATTGTCAGCTACTTACAACCTCTACTGGGTAATGACAGTTCTCTTTTACAAATACTGGGGGGCAAACCTTTTCTTGCACACAAACAGCCCCCCAGTCTTAAACAACTCCTCACCACAGTAATACAACCTCTCATTTGTACATGGACATTGGTGCCAGAGCTTGCAATAAATCCAGATGCCAACTTTGTTGCTACATACACTCAGACATTACAATCACTGGACCTAAGAACATCAACTACACTATCTCAGGCTCATTCACTTGCTCATCTTCTAATGCTGTATATGCCATTAAATCCAAACAAAGCCCTTCCATTCTCTACATAGGGCAAACCAGTCAAACCCTGTGCCATACGATAAATCGACACAAATCTGACATCAGGAATCACAAAACTGAGATACTTATAGGAGAATGCTTTAACCTTCCAAGACATTCAATAGGAGACTTCAAAGTAGCTGTTTTATGGCAAAGGCATTTCAGAAACAGATTAGAATGGGAGATTGCTGAGTTACAAGTTATTACAACACTGAGGACAATGGAACCCCCAGGGCAGAGATATTGGTTTCTTATCTTGCCACACATACTAACGAGCAAAGTTTGAGTCCAGTGGCACCTTTAAGACCAACAATGTTTAATTCTGGGTATAAGATTTCATGTGCATGAACACTCAAACTTTGTTCTGTTGCTTCAGACTAACATGGCTACCCACCTGAATCTACACATGCTAATGTCATTCAGTTTTTGCATCTGTTTGTAAACTTTTATTATGCTGTATGCTAATTTGCTGCTATTCATATTTGCTTTAAGACCAACAATGTTTAATTCTGGGCATAAGATTTCATGTGCATGAACACTCAAACTTTGTTCTGTTGCTTCAGACTAACATGGCTACCCACCTGAATCTACACATGCTAATGTCATTCAGTTTTTGCATCTGTTTGTAAACTTTTATTATGCTGTATGCTAATTTGCTGCTATTCATAGGTCTTGCCAATTGCCTCTTGCAGTGTTTGCTTAACTCTGAATCGTATGCCTCTCAGTTGTAGTTTAACTTGTTACAGTTTTAGGTATTGGGTTTGGATTCCAGTGCTACAATTCTCTTGATCTATTCACGTATGGCCCTGTTACTCATTATAGAAAATAAGAAAATTATGTTCCCACCTTTAAGTGAGACTGTTTGTTATATGTAGAGCATGTGGTTTTGATAGGCTAGTACTGTTTCTTTCTTTTTTTAAAAAAAAATCTCCGTAGGGATATTTTTTATCTTGCATATACTACAAACTACAAAGAAATATAGGGGAGGGACTACAACTAGGGATAAAGAAAAGCAAACCACACTAGACTAAAACCCCAAGAGAAGGAGATCTTTTCACTGTTAGTAAATATGTTAGTGCCATTAGTTTTATTAGCACAATATACTTGTTGAGTTCTTGCTTATAACAATTTGCTTCTTGTATGTTATTTTGTTAGTTGTTATGAGAGAAGTCTCTGATCATCTTCTTATTCTTTGCTTCAAAAGGCCATTTTCCAAGTCCTTCTATTCTCCCTCTTTAGACTCATCATCTGTCCCCAGCTGACGTTTCAAAAATTCTTTAGCTTTAAAAGTGGAGTCTATCTTCTCCCTTCTATCGTTGATCTTAAAAATGATACCTTCTGGAACCGCCCATCTGTACGATATTCCATTAGTTTGAAGAAAATAAATTAGTTCCTTGTAATTTTTCCTCTTTTGTCTAATTTCAAATGGA